ATTTTGAAGGCTAATCCCCAATGGACCTTTTAAACGAAAAGAAAGATTATAAAGGGCTAGATATGATGTTAGGATATCTAGCTGGATACGACTATGATCATCATTCAAGAGCAATGGAGAAGGTCTTACATATTATGGTTGAACATCAATTGCCAAATCTGTGCGATTATTTAGACTCAAGATTGGTACAAACTGATGCTCTTAGAAAAGTCAAGAAGGGTTGTATTAGAAAAACAAAATCTACTGGAATCTCAGTTGCACCTTTTTGGATTAGTCCAGCTCATCAATCCACAATTTTATAGCCTGCTCCAATAGAACAAGAAATAAAGCTTGAATTCGTGGATATCCCAATCATCCATGGTTATACCAGTGAAATTGGAACTTTATTCTTTGATGCTCTAGCAAAAACGGACGACATGGAAATTTTTGAAAAGAAAGTTATCAAGAAAACTATTGATTATAAGTGGTCATTGACAAGAGAATTCACTGTTAGAAAACTCTTTATTCCATTTTTGCTTTACCTAGGATTCTACTTGATTTACATGAATTGGATTTTCTATATGAGAGAAGTCGATGAAACATGGATGTATATTAACTACGGTGCAATGGTACCATTGGCTCTTTTGAGTTACTACTTTGTCTAGAATGAGGTTACCTAACTTTAGCACGAAGGCTTAGAATATCTAAAATCTATTTGGAACTATTTAGATTTAATCCCCCCATTCTTGCTTATGGTTTTCATCCCACTTGCTGCTATTGGAGTATTCGATAATAGAGGTGCTCCAGCCCTTGAGGCTACTCTTCAGGCTACAATGAGTTTAATTTTATGGCTTAAGTTCCTGTATTTCTTGAGAATTTTCCAGTCCACTGGTTATTTGATTAAAATCATAGTTGAGGTGGTCTACGATATGAGACACTTCCTGTTGATATTGCTCTTAACATTTATCGCATTTGGTGATGCTATGAGAAGCATTTCCACTTCAAATGATGATGAAGTCAATGAAGATGGAAAGCCCCATCAATTCATTGGAAACTACATTGATGCCATTATCTACATCTATAGAATGGTTCTAGGAGATTTTGATGTCAATAACTTTGGAACTGTGGCAGTGCCATACGTCTGGATTCTCTTCTTACTCTGCACAGTTTTCAACATGATTATCATGCTCAATCTTCTGGTTGCTATTATTTCTGAGTCTTTCGCAAAGATCAACTCAGTTTCAAGCCAAGCAAGTTACTAGGAAAAAGCTGGTATGATTGCTGAAAATTCGTATTTAATTTCTCAGAAAAGAAAGCTTAAGTTCTGTGAACCTAATCAATATTTGCTTATTGCAACTGATGTTGAGGCAGAAATGAAGGAGAAAGGAGATGAGTTAGATTACAAATTGGAATAGATCAATACTAGAATCATCAACCATGCAGATGTAGTCAAGAATAATCTAAATACCATTCTCAAGGAGATAAAAGAAGAACAGCAGAATGATCTTAAGAAGGTTGTCGACCAGGTCAAAGAAGAAAATTAGAAAATGATTGAGGCAATCAAAGAGATCGCTTCAAAGCTTCCTGGTGGTAGTCCAGCTGCCCAAGAGGAATGAATTAGTTGGCACGACTAAAACTTTATTCAATTCAATAACTTAATTCTAACTTATTCAAACATTAATTATTTAAATAGAGAATTCAGTCTTAAGGGGTTTTGGGGTTTTGGGGTTTTGGGG